GTTTACGACAAGCCACAACCAAATGAACAGGCTGATAGCCGCCCGTGCTACAGCACTGCAGGAGCAGGAGCAGGGCAGCTTCCTCAGAACTCACAAGAACCCTGGCCCGTCCGTCCGTCCACGCGGTTAGGCCTGATTGACAGCCGAGACGACAAGGCCCGCACCACCTCGCGCAGCTGTGCGCCTGTGCCTGACAGCCGTATAGAGCGGCACCAGCACTGCGGCTCGGTCTTGCCGCGTGCGGCGCTTGGAAGTGTCTTGGGGAGCCGGCGGGGTTGGCGTCTGCCGGTCGCCGGATCGAACTGCTGAATTATTGTCCCGCCGGCCGGACCGGGCCACCGGCCACGCTGCTGGGGCGCGCCGGCACGCCTCCAAAAAGTAAGCCAACAGCGAGGCGGCAGCCGGCGTCGGTTCGGTCCAACGCCTGCGCGCGGTCCCGGAACCCTTTTTCTGGGAGGCTCTCATCTGCTGTAGCGCTGCTCAATTTTGCTGATTGTACTGTCCTGGTGACTGGTCACGTGCGGACGGAAGATGCCCTGCCCCTTTGCCCCGGCATCATCGTGGACGAGACAGCTCGCAATCTCTAGGTGCAGGAGCAGGACGTCCTACGGCGTTTTCGTAGCTTTGGTGTTCCACCACCGTGCCCGCGGATCTTTCCGCCTTTAAAAAATCGCCGGATTCCTCAATCCTTGGGTGCAAAAAGGTGTGAGCGATTGCGCTTTGAAGATCATATTATATCACAACTGTGAAAAGATACTCATGTTTACATTCCGTTCGTCGTCGCCGTACGTAGCGGAAGGGCGGTTTTTGTGTGTGTATATATATGGGTCACGTTTTTCTTAGGGTTATATGGATTCACGTCATTATAATTTTCGATGTTTGAAGAAACGTCATTACTAATCGTCTATTTTAAAGCATGCCATTATAATTCTTCGCTTCTCAAAAAAATATCACTGAATACGTATGGACACAGCCTGGGCCCAGCTGCAGGCGTATACGAAGATGTATACTTCATCACCCCTGTCACTGACACGCGGGCCCTACATGTCATCTTCTTCTTCCTCCTCTCCTCCTCTCTCTCTCTCTATCCCGACGCGGCCACGGCCACGGCGAGCAGCAGCAGCACGCCGTGGGCGAGCAAGTGGGCGAGCAGCAGCACGTCGGTCAGGCCGCGAGCTCCGCGCCAGCCGCGTCCTCGGCGCGCCGCTCGGGCGGTGAGCTCCGCACCGGCCGTGTCCTGCTGCTCGGCTGTGGCGCTCCCGTCGCCGGCTGCTCGCCCGCGGCGCGCGGGGTCACGACAGCGGCTCGTCGGCTCGCCCGCAAGCCCGCAGCCGCCGCCGCCGGCAGCGCCCGCTGTGGCCGCGCCGGGATGGAGAGAGAGAGCCGGAGAGGGAGATGAGGAGAGGAAGAAGAAGATAACATGTGGGGCCCACGTGGCAGTGACAGGGGAGATGAAGTATACGTCTTCGTATACGCCTGCAACTGGGCCCAGGCTGTGTCCATACGTATCCAGTGGCATTTTTGTGGGAAACGAAGAATTGTAATGGTATGCTTCAAAATTGGCAAATAGTAATGGCGTTTATCTAAACATCGAAAATTATAATTTCATGAATCAAATAACCCTTTTTCCTTAGGGGGACAGTTTTGTTGTGTGGTCTCTGCAGAAGTAAAGAAATTCGGTACTACAGTACCAGGACTGCAGCAACGTATGAGTAGTTGAGTACACAAGTACTTGTACGCAACTACACTACACATGCTGTTTTCATGTGCCGTGTGCCCAAAGTCCAGACTGAGGCCAAAATTAAATCGCTGGTAATTAATGTCGGCTGATAATGAGTTTGTACGTGTAGACAGGTGATCTAGTAACATCACCATGCAGTACACACGATAGCTTCAGCTTGTTTGGATCCCAATCACCGGCCATGTCAACAGTGCTTGCTTTTGTTTTGGTGTGCACGAGAGCTGCTTGTTTGTTGCCTTTGCGATCGAGTAGTCCATGGAACCGAGACATTCGCTCAGATTCGGGCCACCACTACGCCGTCGTAATCGTATCGTAGCACGGCCGCACAGCAAACTTTGGCCTCGGGCTAGAGTGTACGCAACAGAAACCTAGGACACGCAACAGAAACCTAGAACACGTAGAACTCACCCGCGTTCTCTACGAGCCTCCCAACCTCAAAACTCTCAAAACCATCCCCCGTCCGGCAGCTCCGTACCTCTGTTCGAGAGATTGAGATTCGAGAACCCAAACGCTAAGCAAGGGTTGGAGAAAAGTAATCCGGTGCAGGACAGTTCGGAGCCGGGGTACAGCACAAGTGAACCGAACACATGCCTCGGTTCTAGGCCGTCCCGGCACGGCACGGCGTCACTCCTGGCAAATCCTTCACTTCGAGTGCAAGCGATCCTGCTGCTTCTGGGCGCAGGGCGCCACCGCCATCCGCTGCAGCCTGCGGCCCCGAAACGAAAAAGGTTGCCCATCAGTGAATGAATGAATGAATGGTCAATGCTTACACTCGGGTGCCAGACGATCGCGATAGTACGTGACGTCGATGCGTTCCGCCAACGACCGACCGACCATTCACGCGACTGCGCCCGCATGCCGCATGCCGCATGCCGCATGCGCTCCGATCGGTGATGGCCTGATGGAAACGGAGGGGAAGACCGAGGCGGCAGAGGGCGCTTTCGCTCGCCATCTTTCTCGGGTCTCGGCGCCGCTCCGGCAATCGGCAGCGCGAGGCAGAGGTTGTTGCCGCCGCTTTTGCTTGCCCGCCAAACGCCCACCTCTCCCTCCGTGTCCACGCGACCACGCCCCGGCTTGTTTCGATCCGTCCCCGTCCCGTCGCTTCCTTGGTGGGCGTGCTGCGTGCAGGTGCAGCCTTCGTCTGATGCAAGCTGCCGGGGCGCCGTTTGCTGCGGTTCCCGTGCGGGGCGGCCATCATCGCATCGCTGCTGCCGAGGGGGTCACAGGACACGCCGGTTTGACCGGCACGGGTCTTCTTGGCTCTCAGGCCGGAAACGCTACGAGCACATCGCGGATTTTTTCTTTAAAGGAAGAATATATAAAATGCACTCCGTATATCTCACTTCAATTCTGAGTTCTTCCACAACAAGGCATTTTGTTGCAAATGTCCATCCTCCTGCATGATCCTGTTGCAAAAACACACAGCTGCGCACATGTTTGAACGAGTCAAATTGTTTCTGATCTATTTCAAGCGTCAATGTAGTTTTTTATTGGAGACCAATACTGTCAGAGTATAATCATGACATTTTTGGTGGGTTCCAGAAAAAAAAAACTCATTGATTAAAGCTTAGACATTGTCGCATCAACACATTATCTTTTGCAAAACAATTTCTCAACAAAAGTACTCCTTCGTCCTAAAAAAGAGTGCAATGCTAGCACGGTGTCACGTTTTAGTATCTTTAGTTTGACCAATTATAAATAAAAATATTGATATTTACTTATGATATTAAATAAATACCATTAGATTAATTATGAAATGTATTTTTATAATAAATTAATTTCGAACTATAAATGTGAATGTCATTCACTAGAAACTTGGTGAAACGTACATCACTTTAATCGGCACTTGAATGTAGGGAGTACGCGGCAAGAAGTATCCCATTCACATCATGCCCCAGTTACATAATTCGAGGAAGCCCATCAAAACCAAAAACAAACTGTGCTTGTATGTTAGGTTTTTCTAGAACGTGCCATTGGCACGGTATTCATTAAGCAGAAGCAAAGTTTTACAATTTAAAACTGTGACGGTATTCATTAAACAGTACTTATATGTTAGGTTACACAAATGCATAGCATAGCATGCCGTGAAAAAAAAAATCACTAAAGAAAACACCTCGAGCACGAATTTGGTCTGGTCGCCACTTATCAAGCACGGTAGCACTTTGCGACGGTAGTGGTGCTGCGTGATAGTAATGGAACATTTCAGGAAGCTTCGGCTCATTTCTTGGACACGGTGGGCTCTGCTTGCCCCCTGCCAAGATCATTCACACTCGAAGATTAGCGAACTTCGCAGCGCATCTCTGCGTGCAACATGCGTGGGCTTGTTCACAGTCTTTTGTTTGGTCTCTTACCCCTAGCTTCTTGCTGCAATGTCTGCAGTCCGATTGTAATAACTCTATTTGAGAAATGAATCTATGATTCACCCCAAAAAAAAAAAAGCACGGTAGCAGTTGAAAAGTCGCCCTGTTTTTAACACGGGACGGACGAGTCCTGACTTCCTACCCTGGTGACTGGTGTGGTGTCGTCCCCCTTCCCTGGCGTACTTGCACGCGATTGCGAAGCAGTAGCTCCTAGCGCCCGTTCCGTTCGTTCGTGTTCATCGACGCCACGCCACCAGCAGGTTGTCTCTCCTGGCTGACTGCTGCCAAACCCTGCCGGAGCTTTGCGGGTCCGCTTCCCCTTGTATATATAAAAAACCGCCGCGCGTGGGCGTGGCGGGTGCCGCGCTTTAACCTCCCCACTCCCTCCCGCCATAAATGGCCACTCCCGCTCCCTCCTCCCCGTCCCCCTCCCCGCCGGCCGCGCAAGAGCTCCCCGCCGGCGCAGGCGGCGACCAGCGGCAGCAACAGCAGCAGCCACCACCACCACCGCTCCTCTCGCCGCGGCCGCCGCCGCGTCCCTCCTGCCGTGCTCTACCTCCCCGGCCGGTGCTGCTGCTCGTGCTCTCCCCGGCCTCGCTCTCCTCCCTGCTCCTCCTCCTCTCCTCCTCCGCCTTGGCTCCGCGCCGCCGCCGCCTCACGCTCTCGCCGTCCCTCCTCCTTCCCCACCGCCGCCGACGGACGAGAAGCAGCAGCAGCAGGCTCCCGAGGTCGAGTGCCCGCCGCCTCCCTCGCCTCCTCCTCCGCCGTCCCCGCCGCCGGAGCCGGAGCGCGGGAGCGTGTTCCCAGAGGTCCCGGAGTTCGCGTCGTGGGCGGCCAAAGGGCGCGCGCTGGAGGTGATCCACGAGGAGTTCGAGGCCGAGTGGGGGCTGCCGGAGGAGATGGGCCTGCCGTGGGACTCCGACTCCGACCTGGACTCCGAATCGGACAGCGCCAGCGGCAGCGATGACGGCTACGGCGGCCGAGGCGGCGACGCGGAGGACGGCATGATCGAGATCGAGCTGGAGGAGGACAGCCTCATCGAGATCGACATCTCCAGGTTCCGGTGAGGCGGTGACGGACGTGCTGCGTATCGCCTTCAATTTTTCCCCCTTTCCTCACGGATTAAGATCCTTGGTACTTGGAGCCGGGGTTCTCGACAAAAAATTCTCTGCTTAGTGATTAGGCGTGTGGGTAATTGCCTAACTGGAGTTCTTCAGTTGCTTTATCTAGACGGTTTTACTGCAATGTACATATAGGACTACGAATTTACGATGATGAGAGATACAGAGCGAGAAGCTTTGCTTGGTTTTTCTTCCCCTTATTACTGAAACAGCTCGATTTGGTTCGTCCATGATTGATAACTTAAAACTCTTACTGCTACTTTTGGTGATGTTTTCTAATCTCTTGCGGTCCTGCCTCTTAAGTCATCTCGAGAGCTAGCTGAGCATCATAATCTAATATGGTTCGCGAATGACTGTTCTGGTGGTCTGATTGGGCATTGCAAGAATGGCAAGTTGGGAGGCATCATCATCTCCCTCCTTGTCCTGGGTGGCAACTGCTGTGCCACAATGCTCCACTGGTGCGCGCTGTTCCTGTTCGATGCATTCATGTACGTACGCCATTAGTGGTGGCTAGGATTGTGCTGGAATAGCCAAAGCTTTTGTGTGCCTTGGCGATGCCGCTTGGATCTGGATTCCTAGATCGCGTCAGTGGTCGTAGCCCGTTAGGTGGTTGGCTGGGTTGTGGTTAAAGCTGTTGGTTCGACGAATCAGTTCGCACCACAAGAACAATGCAATGCAATGCTGATGTGATGCTGCTCCAGTACACACCGACTGAACTGAAAGAATATTATCTGATCCAATCCAGACATGCAGTACTCATTTTTCATCAGAGCTTTTAGCTTCACTTGCCGCTGCCTCTTTTGCGCCGCCTGCTGGATCAACGTTTGGTTACCTAATCGCCTTGCACACTGCAATGTTGCAGTGGCAAATCACGTTTGGTGTCTAGCGGTCTCCGGCCGCTTGTCAGTTGTCCAGATCGCATGCTCTGACATCAGATCGTTTGACAGGCCGGCAGAAGATCAGGTACGCTCGCTGTCATGTGCCACGTGAACAGACTGCTCCACTTCATAAACATGATTTAGACGGCCGCCCGTTCAGAGATCAGATGTATATTCCGGCAGCATACTGTATCTAGTTATAGTTTCCGTAGGAGGTGCTGCCTTGTTTACACCTAACTGTGCTCTCTCGACCAGTGTACTTGCACGATAGAGTATTTGGGTTTTTGACCGCTATATAAACGGATTGCAACGTGACAACGATGTGTGTGAAAAGCCGAAAAGCAGTGTGTCCATGGGCCTATAGTTCAGAGACAAGGCTGAATGCTTGTCCAGTCCCCTGTCTCCCAGCATAGGTTTTAGCCCATGTGACTCGGACGGAAAGATAACTGAAGCTCATAGGCCGAGCATAGTGTACACTAGAAACACCAGCGCGTCGTTGCCGCGCCCTTCAGATCAGCCAGTGTGATCATTCCCATGTTGTTTCTGAAATGTATATTTGTCCCTGTAACATTTCATCATGAATCCTCCCATAGCAGGAGAAAAACTGCTGCTCTGGATCCAAACGGTGTAGCAGCAGCAAGCAAGCAGCAGCATGAGCTCTCACATCTCCATCCCCTGCTCACATTCATCCAGAAACCCAAGAACATGAAACTACGGTGCCGCGACGAAACCGAGAGCCCCTGTAGGTGCACACACAAGGCTGTGCTGCTCGGCACGCGCTGGTATCAAGGTTCCTAGTCATGATCCATTGCAGAACTGCACCGATATGTTATTTTCACGTGAGCTCTTCCTTTGCTATCTCTCCTTATCTTGTCAGAAGATCTGAACGTCGAACCAGATACAATAGGACTTCCTTCTGGGGTCGTCCAAAGCATAACATTTGAAGAACAGGTCACTGACATGAACATAAACAGACTGCAAGAGATGGTAGACAAGTGACTCTACTTGACTGTCCCTGTAATGACGTCGGTCATCTAGTGAGCAACTTATGTCGTCCTCGTTGGATCAGAAAGGTGCACCCCACTTAAGGTTGAACAAGTTGTCAGTCGAGTGACAATGGATGGAGATATTATGTGCTGTAATAGGTCACCTGGTACTCATGAGCTTCCTATCCAAGTTCTTAATCTTTAGGTGCATAAGGATCATGCACACAAAAACCGACCTTCTTCGGTGTCACCCCTTTTCTGCTGACTTCCATGTTAACTGTCTGTTTGCACATCCACTACAATTGTTGCCGTCAAAAAGGAAGTTTTGGAGCTTTTTAAATGTTCGGAGACAACAAATTAGTTACCAGTAGTAAGGTTAATCTCCAGCTAGGTAATGACTCTTTGGTAGCCCTGAAGGCTATGTCTCACCGAACAATGTTAAGCAAAGAAACAGCAAAGCCGGTCAACAATGCAAGTACTGCTTTCTTCTCCAAACCCTGTGTCATCAAGTCAATTCCATCTTAGACAATCGTATGGGTAGTGCAAGATGCTGTATCAGCTAAGTAAAGAGCTAGAGAAAGAACGTCTCTAATCTCGGTCAGCATCATTATGTATATGGTGCTATCAAAGGATTTGTTCAGGACTCTATTGGAGCAAGTACAGAAGGATAGTTATCAACGGTCCCTTATCTTGTAGGACTGTCTCTCCACGTAAAGTATGCATTGTGGCCTGCAAAAACAGCCCACCAGTCCAATACTTATGTATCGTTGAGCTGGTGCCTAAATCAACTGTTGAAGTTGTTTTCTAAGAGGCATGTGAGGAAAACCCTAGCCTCTATCCTCAGCGAGAAAGCTACCGCTGCTATAAGAATAATTTGAGAGTGCAGAACACGCTCCACAACGTGTGAAGCAAAGAGAAAGAAGAGCGGAAAACTATCCAGATTTCAGGGCACTAAACCGGTTACCCTTAAGCCGGTGATTAGAGGATCAACCATGGTTGGATTGTCCCAAAACTTGACGAGCTTATTCCTCGCTTAGGATACTTCGAGGTCTGAAGTTGATTGAGGATTGGTTGAGTAAAGCATCGGATTCAAGAGATGTTTTGTTAGTTCAGGTCACTAAAATTTTAGAACCGAGCAGTTTTGGTAGATGATTTGATGGATAGTCAAACGGTGTCCATTTGAGCCAAATTTTGGTCAGTAGTTAGAGGACTTTTGAATCTAAATGTCTACCAAAAATTTGTGCACAATGGAGCAGTAGTTTGCAGGATATGAACTGATTACCGAGAGGTACAGAATCTGTGATTTCTCTGCTGACTACTAGCATCCCTCAGATTAGTAGGTTGTGTTGTAGTTCAGGTCATGTTGGCAATGTGAGGATTGTTAATACTTTAGATGCCCTAGAGAAGACTCCTTGCACCCCTTTGTGCCTTGCTTTTGTCCTCTCGTATCAACAATGGTGAGTAGTCAAGGTGTTCTACAAGTCAATTTGTGCCATTACGAGTCGAAAACAATTTGAAAAGTGTCAAACAACAGATTTCAGACTTTGATTTTGAGTTGTTGATTGACATTATAAAGGAAGCCTCAATGTCAAAATTAGTCCAACTAGGCTAATTTTGCGACAGTGTAAGTCAACCCAACTTACTGCGCCACTGCACCATGAAGGCAAATTGTGCTCAACCTGCTTAGTAGTGTACTGTTTTTCCAGTCGGTGTATACTTGCAATTTTCGTTGACCTCCAGGCCTCGCTATCATCCTTCTTTAGCAAGGATTTCCAAGGCGGACTTGTCCTTGGGTACCTTCCATGTGTTTTTACCCAAGAGGTTGCCTCAAATTCAACCCAGATAACTGTTGCCGCTTGGATATAAGGATTCCCCCAAATAATGATCGTCGAAAACGCCGAGTCAATAGAGTCAACTATCATATTCACCGCTCACTCAATGGACTTAGATAATACAATGTTATCATTAGAGAAGGAGAGCTGCACACATAGAACATTATGTAGTTTTCCATCGGTTGGCATCTGAGTGATTGAACAGTTACGACCGACATAGATATTGTCTGTTGGTTACTCGGTTTGTTACAGCCTCGGAGGATCCTTACCCCGTCTGTGATCTCATCCCTTATGAAAGGTTGTACTCAAGCTACTTTGGTAGAGGACTGCTTTTCGAACTTTATGAATGAACATAGAACCATTGTAATGAGTAGCTTTCAGAAGCTTGCAGTCTAGTGCAAAGTGAAAGTGCATCTAGCCCTTTAGTGGGTTTTGGATGATTGAATAACAACGTGATTAAAGGTCTAACCCGTTTGCTAAGTGTAGACAGGTGATAGGTTATCTCACAGGTACTTAATGAAAGCCAAAATGATGTGTTGTTGTATAAACAATCTAGTTCAAGCACAAGACAACAATGCAAATGGAATTCATTCAAAGGCTTATTTATTGTGGGATTTCCATGTACTATGTAAAAGCAAGCTTGTGAGAATTAATTAATGAGACATAAGGGTTTGCATATGGAATGGTCTCATATTTGAAGCTTGCTAAATTAAAATGAAAAAGACAACAATACAAATGAATGGATGATTCAACACAAAATGTGACTTGATGGCTTGAGATGGCGAAGATAGCAAGGAAAGGCTTCGAGGTACTAAGCAAGGGTGAAGGGCAAGCGACGGCTTGGCGGCCGAAGAACCTAGCTAGGGTGAAGAAGAAAGTACTTGCATTTAGTTGAGGTACTAATCAAGCTACGATGGTCATATTGATGTGAAGGATCAAATCACTATTGGAGTGTTTGATAGAAGTGACTTGATATATTTGGGATTATTCAAATTTGATGAATGGAATCAAGTCACGTGCTCAAGTTAGCTATGCTCTAGTGAAAAAGATCAATATCAACATGTTGGCGCCCTCACTTGATGAAGATTGGAATACACGGCTTCGGTTCAAAAAGAGCAACTCAAAAGGTTTAAATTTGTTATACATTTAAATTTGAGTAAATAGGAATGCCGTACTATTAAGAGGGATGCATCATGTTGATAGATAATGTTTCATAAGTGCTCAAGCCAACCCATGTGAGATTTGAGTGT